TTTACACAGCATCCCAACATTTGGAATTGGGGTCGTACAACAGATGGCACAAATTTTGTGCCAGGGCTCCTCACTGAAGCAATATTTTACAGAAGGTAAAATGTGTTGTTGAAGGTAACATTTCTGTCAGATAGCTTTGACAATCATTCAACACTTCAGATGTCTGGTTCCTATCACCACCTATTTAAACAATTCCATTTTCTAGAATGGAGCATTTCACATAAAACCCCTCTAAATACTGTTTTTACAACTTAACGATAAGGATCAGCATCATGTACACCTTAATTTAAAGTATCACATGTAATATTTTGTGAAGAAAGTCACAAAACAGATACCTTCCTCAGATAAAAACACTTCCTCCCAGGTCCCTGTAGATTTGGAAAAACGCGTGCTCGTCAATTACTGTCCTCTTTCCCCGGATTCTCGAAATGTATTGTTTTACAACAAACAATTTCCTAAACTCACTTGGGCTTTGGTTGTGGTCACATCTCTGTGCTGTACTTTTGTTGAAGCCCAGGCTTAATTGAAGGGAACGGTTATCAGATGTTCTGGCCCAAATAAACCAACTGAAAGTGATGTGCTTTACAGATTTGCTTTTGTTTTTTAGGTTAGCTGGGTTTATACATAATGTTACATAAAAAATGTCTTAGAGGTCACAAATTGAATTACTCTGTAAAATACAAATGCAACAGGACAAAAATGAAACTGAGCAGGTTACTACTGCAGATATACATCCAGAACAAGGACGGATGAAGGAGGGTCACTAATATGACAAGGGGCCCATCCAGGTCAAGTACTTGGGTGGGGACATCCTCGGGTGGAGACATGCTCTTATCTGGATAGACAGACATGTGGGACAGCACATCTGCACTTAGGTTGGTATGTTTTCCACACTTCATGCCTACAAAGCCTCAGAAGTAGAAAAAAGATTTGCTGGCTGTCAGCAGTGTTGCCCTGTGGGTTATTTTGGGTCATGAACCTGCAATGCTGTTTACACTTGCTGCATCAAATTAATTAAAATCCAAGCAAGAATTGCCTGAGGGTAGGAATAAGTGCCACAGAGGACTGATTTACACTACAGTTACAGTACAGATTTGCAATACCCTTACGTCATGGTGGACTAGCATCCAGCACTTAAATCTGACACCCTAGTGTTACTTTATACTTCAGTACCACACATTTGTGGACACGCAAGTAAAACAGGCCAGACTCTTAGACCCAAATTACGCTTAAGCCTAAACTAAAGCAGGATTTTAAAAGATGAATCACCACTGGTAATCCAATTTAGCCCTACACTAGGCTTAACCATGTCTAGTAAACCAGCCCTATATGTCATAACTATTTGCTCACTTCAAGGGCACATATTATGAAAAACACATTTCAAAATGTACCATCCACTTTCAGTCCATCTACTGGAACTGAACTGCAAAACCTGCACGTTTTGAATTAATCAAGATTGTGATGTCACACATTTACATATGACCTCTCGCTCAGCCTCCAACAGTTTAGCCACCATACATGCTGAAGTGATAATGGGTGTTGTTACCGCAAACTTTGGTCATACTTTATTTGGATGGTCCCCTATAGATGATCTACAGATACTTAAATTATTAACAAACTTTCTGGTGATAGTTGATTATCAACAAAATTGTGGTTAGGGTTAGGTTTAGGAGTAGGTTTATGTTTTGTCTTGAGGTTAGGATTAGGGTTAGGGTTAGATTAATAGACTTTTTTCACACACAACTTCAAGTTCAGTTGCATTTAATAGATATTTCTTTGAATGCTGGTTAAAGATAGACTGAGCATCTACAGTGGACCATCCAAATAAAGTGTTACCCAAACTTTTTGTAACAGAGTTATTAAAAGTGAAAGATGTGGAAAAAATAGATTAGATAGATATGGACAATAGATTCACAAAAAGATGCACTAATTACTGGCAGTCACATTTTGCGCCAATTTAGCAGGTTATCTACTACAAACTTCCACGCAAATGAACACAGACACAACTCTTTAGTTAAAATATAACCAGCGCAATATGATGTCCTGCTCACATGCTTACTGTATGATTTCCACAGGGTAGAAGAAAACAACTCTGATTATGTTTCAGACTGTCTAGCTAAAAATAATCACTTATTTTCTTGAGATTTTAGTTAGTAAGCCTTTTTCAAGCTGGATTTGTTTAAACTTGTGAGACATTGAATTTGAGTGATTACAGATGAGATCTGCAATTTTAATCCAAATCTACAAAGTCTGTAGTTTTTGCAAGTCTGTTAAGTAATAATTCCAGACAGAATTATGTTTTATAATTTGTCAATCAACACCTCAGTTTCTAGGTGAGCAGGAGACAAGATTACTTGTTTTACACTTGTTATGTTAATGAACCCACTTTACTAGCCTAATGCTAGTAAATTACAAGATACTTTATCTCGTATGAATCAGCTGGTGGAATCCTTATCAAACTACCTGACTCGACCTCCTCTGGTAAAACTAGTCCAGCCCGAATAGAGCTTAAGTAAAAAAAAATACTTATTAGTTGTGAAGAAAGTATGTGATTATTTCAACATAAGTATTTATTTTAAGAAAATAAAACATCATTCCAGTTTAATACACCACAAATTTGACAAAATTGATTGTTACTTTCTGTTCTGAAACACAATCACTTTTGTCTGGAGGAATGAGCTGAACTGTTCCTGGTTGTTCTGTGTTAAGAACAATTGTAATTTCACTCAGCTCAACCTGGCTTTTTTGGGAGCTGTACGAGTTGGAACTTGGGGGGAATGTAACCTCTTAGCTGTGCAGGGCTTCATAGTCTGCAAGAGCAGGTCCTGACCTCCCTGGAGCCCAAAGCAAAATTCTCTAAAGCAGCCCACCTAACTGATCTATCACTATAATCCTCTCTCCCTTAAAACAGGTTGTTCCATCTGTTGGTCTAAGAATAGGTAGACTAATTATACTATTATTAATTTCATCATTTGCATCAGGCCCATGCAGACTGGCTTCCCCAGATTTCCATTCATACATTTTCTAACATAAAATACTATTCATACTATGGCTTGTCAGCATAATTGATAATTATTACGTGAGAGATGTGAAACCATATTGCCCAGTATGTCCAGCTATTCAACATTTTGAATTTAGTATTTAATCAATAGTCAATGTTAATCCATTGCTTTCCATTTTGCATCAGACTACTGCTGCCAAGCACAAATTTCATTTTGTGCACTGCCCAGCTAGGTTAGCGAGACAGACTAGAGAAAGATGCACTGCCCAGCTAGGTTAGCGAGACAGACTAGAGAAAGATGCACTGCCCAGCTAGGTTAGCGAGACAGACTAGAGAAAGATGCACTGCCCAGCTAGGTTAGCGAGACAGACTACACAGAGATGCACTGCCTATCTAGGTTAGCGAGATAGACAGAGAGAGATGCACTGCCCAGCAAGGTTAGCGAGACAGACTAGAGAGAGATGCACTGCCTATCTAGGTTAGCAGACAGACAGACAGAGATGCACAGCCCAGTAAGGTTAGTGAGACAGACTAGACAGAGATGCACTGCCCAGCTAGCTTAGCAAGACAGACTAGAGAGAGATGCACTGCCTATCTAGGTTAGCAGACAGACTAGAGAGAGATGCACTGCCTATCTAGGATAGTGAGACAGACTAGAGAGAGATGCACTGCCTATCTAGGTTAGCAGACAGACTAGAGAGAGATGCACTGCCTATCTAGGATAGTGAGACAGTCTAGAGAGAGATGCACTGCCTATCTAGGTTAGCGAGACAGACTAGAGAGAGATGCACTGCCTATCTAAGTTAGCAGACAGACTAGAGAGAGATGCACTGCCTATCTAGGATAGTGAGACAGTCTAGAGAGAGATGCACTGCCCAGTAAGGTTAGTGAGACAGACTAGAGAGAGACCCACTGCCTATCTAGGATAGTGAGACAGACTAGAGAGAGATGCACTGCCTATCTAGGATAGTGAGACAGACTAGAGAGAGCTGCACTGCCTAGCTAGGTTAGCAAGAAAGACTGACTAGAGAGAGACCCACTGCCCAGCTAGCATTTGCTGTCATTAAACTTGGTCAGAACACAAGTTCACCTGATTGCTGTTGGTGCAATTCACTAATGGTGTTTGTTTTTTCATGCCCAGATAGCTAGTTCTGCTTCATCCGCTCATCAAAGCTGTAAACAATACGCAGCTTTGACATGAAGGGGAGGCTGGGCCCTTGTGTAATTTGCGGGGCCCTATGCAACATGCATATTTAGCGTATAGGGCCAAACAACTCTGCTGGCTGTCAGGAAAAAATGTATCATCACAACTTTCAAATAGATCCAGGCAAGTGTTCCAGTTCACAAGTGACATTGCTCTGCACATTTCACCCTGGCCTACTCTTTGAACGAGGCACAAAACGGTGGAGCCAGAGGAGGGTTTTTTTTTTTTTTATATGTATCTTAAAAGCAGCGTAACAAAAACAGTTTGCTTCGTTCTAAGGAATAAAGCGAGGCTAAACATGTAATGTAAAATCAATTACAACTGTTTCTGTTGAAGCCACACAAATATTATAAGGGCCCTTCAAATAGTCGCTTGCTGTCATGCTTTGCATACTCTGCTCAATACATGTAAGTTGTGAAATGGTCTGTAATCTTGAATGAGGTTTGTTTTGGTCTTATGTCTCCTTCATTTCTGATACAGCAAAAAACATAAGAAGCAAAACAAGTTTCTGTAGACATCTGTGCTCTCAGGCACACCTGCAAATGATTCTACATAGAAAGCCGTGGCTTTGTTAGGACATGCTTTCCCTGACACGTAACTTTCTCCAAGCACAACCTGAATATCTGCCTTTACCTGGCCCACCCTTGTTGTAGCACAGTTATGGGCCTTGATAACTAAGAATACCCCAGGGAAGCAGGGGATTCCACTCTGTAGGACAGGGATGGGTTTCAACTTGCGGCTGCCCGTTCCAGCAAATGTGTGCAGACGGTAACCAAACACAAATCTCAACGCATCAAGTATTAGTCAAAGTTTATTTATCAAAATATTCAGACACTTTTATATTACAGCCAAGGTCAATGTTATTCTTAACAAAAATTAAACAAAATTTTATAGGATAAACATACAGACTAGTTTGGAGACCATGCCTCCAGCAGAATAGCACATCTTACTTATACAAGACTAAAAACAAAACTGTTAGCTTTGTGCTATTTATGTTTCATTGTTATGATAATATAAACACTAGGGCTTTTAAATTAAACCTGTTAGTTCACATTTTATACATGTAAATGATTTTAAATACTAAAAATATTAAAAGTGCTTGACATAACATTTAACATGTTTTCTAATAAATCTAGTTCCCATCAGTGACCTGTACAGCATTGGCTAGTCTATAAAGAAGGAAAAGGAGATCCCAGTTTTCAGCATAGGTCTATTTGCACGTAGGTAATAAGGTACGAGATAATGTTCTAAACTGACCTAGTACATACATTTAAATGTACAGTTGTGGTTGAATATACGAGCCTCACACATTGCATATTTAAGGCATCTTTACTAATCCAGTCATGGCACAGACAACAGGAACAGCCTCAGGTCATGGTATCATAAACATCCCCTTTCCACATGATACCGTCATTCCCAATTAAAGAGATAAAATGACAAAATTCAATTATGTTTAAATTGGAAAATTTATAGTAGAATCAAATTTGCCTTCTTTCACTGGAAAGGCCATTTTAGTACCAAAATCATTTTTTACCTTTTAAGAGAATTTAACATGTTGGCTTGTACAGAAAAACTATAACTTTACAGTTGGGCTGCAAAGCCAAGGCTTAAAGTTAAAGGAGCCAAAAGCTTCATAGTGTTATTGTCACTGGCAGCCTAAAAGCTGAAGGAAAGCATGCATTTGAAAGGTCAATGTGTATGAATAATGGAGGGGGGAGTAATGCACACAAGATTATAAATGTGCACAAACCTTTTCATATAAGCATTATATGTTATATGTTATTAATAATAATTGAGGAAAATCAAGAAGGAAAGATTTTCTCTGGACACACACAGTCCTGTGCAAACGTAAGACACAGCTCTTCAGAATATTACTATTATCTTATAAGGTAAAAAGATTTGCATATGTGTACGGAAGAGAAAAGTGAAAGAGAAATAAATAAAAACAAAACAAAACAAAAAAAGATAAAAGATTTTGCATATCAAACACAGAAGCTGCTCAATTTTTCCCTGACACTGAAAAAAGAATATCTTGTACTTAATGGCCATTGTGACCATAAATTAAATGAATGAAGAGTGATCTCTGACTTTTGCACAGTACTGTACAATCTAGAAGAGAAAAGCTACAACAGAATACAAATAGGAGCAAACCTTAACTTTAAATGTTAATTAATAGGTTATTTACATGTATATACCAAGTTAGTCCATCTATCTTGAAAATTGTTGGAGAAATCTGGCATTTAAAACAGTGCAAATGACTTTGCAAGCCAGCGCTATATTATGCATTAGTTATATATTCTCTTTTAAATATTAACTTTACATATATTTACTTATATATTAACTCTAGAATCTAGTTACTGATTATCATTAATTTAGCTATATCTCTATCACAGGCTTCTTGAAGTCACATGAAGTCACATCAATACATGGGCTCACAGAGCAGCTACACCACCTTCGTGACATTTATAATTATAAGAACCCTACCTTGTTTGTAATTATGTAACATTACTGCAGGTTGTGACAGGCACAAATGCCTCTTTATGTTAAACTCTAACTTGCCTGTCTGGTTTACTACATTTTGAACCGCTACATGCTCAAACGTGCACATGAACATATGAACAAAACACTCGTGACGAGAAGTTTAGCTTAGGGGTGAGCACAGTCTTTCTTGAGGTTCACGCCCAACTTCTGCTGAACCCTTTACATTTTCTGGCAATGTTCAATATGTGTATAATGACATCCAGAATCCATTTGTTTCTAAGTCGTAAATAATCTTCTCCGTTAATGCTCCCCTAGGCAAATTTCTTCAGGCTTTTTGAGGTTTTACTGAAATGTAAACAGTGTACTGTAGCTCAGTCTACTCCACTGGGGAATCACAGAGTGGATATTTGCACACCCACCCACACATTGACTGACATCGATTCAACCATGCTGAAAGCACCCTATGGTTTCACCTGGCACTGCCACTATTCATGTGGCGCTACCAAAGGGTGTGGAGCAAATCCATTTCAAAGCAAGCATTATGGTTGTTTACAGTCTTGTGGCCACTGCTAGTACATTTTGTAGATATCATCTGCAGAGCCACTCTAACAGACAATCATCCGTGAAAAGTGACGTTAAAAAAAGAGCTCAGCATACCAAAGAGCAAACAGAAACCTGAAGAACTTAGTGGAAAGAGCAAATCAGGTTTCTAACAGTCGAGCAAGGTGTAACACATACCATTACACATTTTTATTCCTGTGAAGATGGAAGTTGTTGGTTTAGGAGGTCAGGTAGGTGTCGAACAGGGGAGTAACTGTGCCATCCTTCCACTCAACAAGGATCTCCCCACGCTGGATAGAGGGGGATCTGGGGGGTCTCATGGGGTGTTTGGTCAGAGGAGCTCTCTCGCTAGGAACTGGTGATCCAGGCTGACTGACTGCTTCAGTTGAAGAGTACGACTTAAGAACCACAACAGTTTTCCTCGTCCTGGCAGAGAAAGCAATGAATTTAAATCAACAGTTTGGCAAAAAAATATGAACACAATTTTGCCCTTACTGCAAAATGTAGCCAATCAGCCAAGACCTCTGATTCTAAAGTCAAGCTATGAGGCAGTGTAGCTAAGAAGTAAAGGAAGCTTATATTTGCCAATTAGTACCATGCAAACGTCATGTCTAATCAACAACATTTAGGTTAAGATAAAAATTGTGCCAACTGAACATTTTGCTGTACTATTGCTTTAAGAGATGAGCCGGATGATAATGCCCCCATGTAATTAAAAACCACTCAGTTACTTGTGCTCAGTGGCCTGCTTCTAACTGAAGCATTACGTGACAACTAGAAAACTTGCACACTGTTGTGGAAATCTGCACATAAAAAAGCACTCATAAGGTCTATAAAGAAACATGATTTTTAAATTGTACATTTTGTCTTGCCTCAAAAAAAGAGGCAATGATGGGGATAATATGTAAAAAGTGGAAGCTGACCTGTTTTGGTAGATGTTTAGGATGAGAATCACCATTCCAAGGAGGAGAGCAAGTGAGCTCAGGACCAGCATGGTCACCTTCCATTCAAACCCTGTTAGAAACCACACATACTTCACTGTTAAACTGCTCTAACGTATCATTCGTGCTTCATGTCTAAATGGCATGGCTGATCTGGAGTAAGGAAGTTACAATGTTCCTGATGAACATTTTGGTTATTGCAGATTCACAAAATGAAGTAAACAATGAATTAAATGTTTATTAACATAACTGAAACAAATAAACAATGACAAATAGTAGAATAACAAGTTGCACAAAACAAATTTTGTATGTTAACTGTATCCAAGTCTAAGCACAACCTTCAAAGCCATAAAGAATACCTGATTCACCTATCCTTCAAACTTGTCATTGCCTGTTCTATCGTTCTCTAAACAGCATGCGCAGCATACTGTTGCTGAATGACCGCCAAATTAGTTCTAAGGATTGTGATGATGATGCAAAGACAAAACAAATAGCTTATCAATAGCAGTGCTTTTTCAAAGTAGTGTAGTCACATGCATTACTGAGCTGACACCTGACTGAACCACAAAGCACTTTTGTAAACAAAACTTTTTATTAATAAAGTAGGTCTTATGACTGTATACATACATAAACAGCCAGGTCATTGCTGCATGACAGTTAAGAAAATATGCAAGAATATTTTCCATAGACATATAATTTAGCAATAAGCCACAAGAGGCCATGCGTTACTGCAATTTTATCACAGGAAGTAGTGTTCATGACAGTACGTGGAATGGAGGAATGTTTGGTCAGCCATTGCTGTATTTTGCAGCCATTTCATAAACTTTTAATAAACTGGTCATATAATAATGAGCATCATGACATAGCACTGTTTAATGCTTTTTGCTTCTCTTTATAATTCTTTTTTGGGGCTGAATCTCTCTGACAGTTCCCTGCTGCCTACATAGTGCACTACATTGGAATTTAAATACTGACTCCTGCACACCAACAGTGCATAATATATTTAACAAATAGCAATTTGTGATTCAGCCACATCTATACTCAACAAATAGTGCACTATTTGCCTGTGGAAGCTAGAATGTCATAACTTACATAACTAGCACACTACATAGGGAGTGCAGAGCCATTTGAGATTCATCCTGGATTTGATGCTACTTAAGGTAGATCTGACAAACACAGAGATTTGAAGCATGGAAGCCGTTCAAGTGACATTCTGTAGACTTATATATTGCTGTTTTAGGGTGAATCATCTCATAAGTACTTTAAGTGAAGCTTGTGATATTAACAAAGGAGTTGTTTAGCATGTTTGCTATCTTTTAGCCTGTTAGCTAGCTGACCAGACTTTAGCCTTCAGGATGCTCAGCTAGAACAGAACAGATTTCAGGACTGCAAATATCCGTTTCATAATTATCTTTTTTTTTCGAAAAATGGCAAGGCTCTGCGCCGAAATTCAAGCTTAAAATGAGGTGGGAATGTATATGGGAATATGGGAATGTTGGAAACACTTTGACTCTGTAGATGTTTTGTCACTGTAGATGTTTCGTAGACTGTCCGCTTGTCATTAACTATCATTCGACTAAATATCTATTAAATGCGAATGAACGTTAAAGCTTCACTATGTAAGTTTTAGGGATTTGGAGATGTCTCTGTGTAATTGCATGCAATGTGTGACAAAACATTTTGTAACATGGTTTGTGCTTCACACCTCTTCCTGGAAGGGATGACTGCAATGTTTGAAAGAATATTGAAAAGAACTCAGTCAAAACTTGGTAAAGGATGTGTTTTTTGATAACATGACTGAATTATCAATTTTTGTCATCATATCTTCATCAGCATAATGCTGATTTTGCATTTGAAACCTAAACGTTGAGCCGAACCTTCTTTTTGAGCCTGTGCGTGTGACTTAATAGTCTAAAAAAAACATGAAATTTGACCTGACTTCATACACAGACTATATTCTAGCTTTTTTTTCTCCTGACTCAGTAATGCAACAAACAAATGTAACATAGTGCAGCTTTAAGTTGGATTAATTCTAACCCTAAACCTAACCATGACCTTAACTTCAACCCAAAACCTAAACCTACTCCTAAAACTAATCCTAACCCTAAAGTTTCAACAGATAGTTTCATAATAATTTGAGCATCTGCAGATAATCGGTAGGAGACTCTCTTCACAAACTGTGAGTGAAACATTCATCCCCTCTTCCCTACTACTAAGTAAATCCATATGTTTAGGCGTCAACCACTTTTCTGTAACAGTCTTTAATGTGTCACAGTGTTTACTTGAGTTGTTCCCCTATTTGAGAACAAACTTGGGAAAGCAACACTGTAAAATCAAATAAACGTCAGTGTTAAAACAGAGAATACTAATTTGCAAAAATAATCATGTGGCAATTAGGTTCTGAACAATGGTGTTTATTTGACATTGCAGTCAAGCTTTCTCCTGTTCGTTCTCAATTAGGGTAACAGCTCAACTAAAACTGTGAGATGTTTGAAACCTAAACATTTGGTTTACAGACTATTAACTTGGCTTGACTTTTGTCTTAAGCTTTTTGACTGAGAAATCCTGCTTTATAAAAACAGTTCCATGCTGACTTGAATCCTCAGCTTTCCCATCCTCTGCTGCCCCCATGTGAGCAAAAATGTACTTACAACTCACTCACTAGTTGATCAGTAATAACTTTCAAAAGTTTTCTGATTCTTGTTTTCATAGTTTACTATTAACACAACATGATGTTAACAGTATGTGAATATGTTTGCACACCCACCATACTCCATGCTGAGCTGATTCAGAGAAGTATCCAAGCTACTATTTGCTTCTGGAACTGCAGATGAGATTTGAGCTGGCTGGGTGGGCTTGGAAGGCGGCAGGCCATAATCCGCTGGAGCTAAACAAAGACAAAGCAAGACAGCACTGCAGTTAAAAGAGTGCTTTGGCATTTTTCACACTAGTCTTTATCTTCTGTATTGGTAGTGTACTGTTGATTAATACAGACAACATCTTCCCTGCACTTATAAAATACTGTTGCACCAACACTGAGACTTAATTGGCAACAGAGAACACTGATACCAAGCAATTACATGGAGCTTTACTGAAGCAAGTAGCATATCAGTGGTGTGGGATAATTTCACATCTGAGACAAGAAGTAGTAAAAGTACTCCTTGCAAAATCAGTAAGGCTGGTACTTGGATGGGTGGTACAACCAGCTAGGATGTTACATTATATTTAATTAACCATTTGGAAATAAACCTTATCCAACCAGTAAATGCCATTCACTCAAGCTTAATATGTTTTATCTGTGACACAAAACATTGTTTTTACCAGAATAAAATATTTAAAGCTGCACGGTGTACGTTTTTTTCTACTATTCAAAGAAATACTGAGACAAGGAGAAAAAAAACGTGCTATGCTGTTTCGAGTCACTCTGTAAATCCTGAAATAATATTAAATGTCAGAGGTGTCAGGTCAGATTTTGCTAAAGTTTTTGGACTACTTTATACATCTTTACATAGTAACATCACATGCAGAGATTCAAAATGAAGGTCCAGCCCAATGGCCTAGGTACATGAGTAGTGAGAGTGTGGCTCTCAGTGCTTACTTAAAGTAATGTGACTTTAGTAAACAGAATGATATCTTACTGATGAAAGAGAATTGTGTCCTACCTTTTTAATATCATCCTTTCCTGGTTATGTTTACCCATTTATTATGTTATATAGCTGTTGTATTAGATGTATTCTTAATTTGCAGTCATTAGCATATACCATGTGCTCATATGTATTGTTTTACTAGGACTGCATGTGAACTTACCTAGACAGTAAATTTTAGTAAAGAATGTGTAGTGTTTAGGCAAGTCCTGAGCATCCAATAGTATGTGCCCTGACCCAATGGCATTTTATGGTTTTATTTTATGGTGTTTATGGACAGCCTGGGGGGTTCATTGATCCAGGCTACTTGCTCTCTTTGCTACTGACATAAATTACAGGTCACGCTGTCCCCCTGCACAACATTAATCAGATGTGCGGGGGACAGCACATATTATTTCTGTTGTCCAGATACATCTAGTTTACATATAAGATTAATCAAACACTTAAAGGTAATTGGGTAAAGCTCTCGGACAATGTCCGAGGGACTTGATGAAAAAAGGGGGTTAACAGAGCTAGTAGTCAATCAGGTCAGCAGACTGGTCTGTGAGGTCAATATGAAACAGAGTGCTGAAGCAAACCAAATTCATTTTTATTCTCTTTTATTTCTTCATTTTATTTTCCAACCATTTGACATTTCTTTCATTTCAACTTCATAAAATCTGTTTTTGTCCAATGTATTCTTTGAATAAATCTGACAAAGATATTGCTGACTGTGCTGCGACTTCGGTCTGGGACCCAGTCATCTTCTGCGACGTCACCTGTTGTTAAAGCTAAGATATACATGTAAAAACGAGAACTTAAGCGAATCGGCAAGCAAAAAGGGAGAATGATAAAGGCTGAGCTGAGTTACAAGGGTTAGTGGTTGAAATCTTGCCCTACGAAATGGAACAACCCTCAAATTACTCTGCTTCATTAACAGGCTACTACTGGTGCTCTGTAGGTGACCCGGCCCGTCCTCAGTGATAGCAGAGAAGGGAAAAGTTCAGCAACCTCGCTGCTGGGCTTTAGTTACATTTAGGGCATCATATGCTTTCAAAGAGGGGCTATAAGACAATTATTTATTATCGCCCACCGCTAATTCTTTGGTAATACGAAGCTGAAGTCAGCTATTCACCAGCTTCTTGTTCGAATTTCCCCATTCCACCTTAAATGGTGCGGCAGTTACATTCTGGCGCTTCAGGCGTCAATACCGCTGGACCATTTAAGGAGGAACGGGAAAGTGAGCTAGCTAGCTACCGAGGCATTAGCATGCTATTAGCGATTTTTTTATGTTTGTTACGAAGAAAACGACCATAATACATTGAAATGACATTAAACTAAGATAATACAGTGGTTATCGTAATTTTTTAACGGAGAAAATACTCACATTTGTGGGCTTCTCGCGCAGCTATCTTTCCGGTTTTTCTTTTTTCTCATAACACTGTTTGGAGTGAGCCTCTGAAAAACCTCCGTTTGGAGGGACATGTATCCCAAACACTTCGCCCTACCCCTCTATCTCAACAAAAATTGGGACACCCTAGCCTTAGACGTGAACGCGCAAAACAGCGGGCTAAGGGCTAAGTGGTAGGGGCAAGGGGTGAAATGGGATTGGGCCCAAATATTGTCATGGCTTTCCAGAATTGGAAACAGCTTAATTACCTGAAGGGCTGTAAGACTGAGCCAGAGCTGGCTTTTTGTTTCCTGAACAGCTAAGGCATTTTAGGTTTGCAAGCTAGCTACCAAAAGCAGCTACCGAGATTACTGAATGCTTTTTCAACATGCTCACGATCATCTGATTCATCCGCTCTGGAAAGGGGTCAGAAGGAAAAAAACAATGCTAAAAAAAATGTTCTTCCACAGGTTGCGTGCAATTATACATTTAGACCAGAGTGGTCTCCAAATTTACATACTTACATAGTGCAGCTTTAAAAGTGTAATAGTATAAATATCAGATTTTTAGGCAGCAATTTTCTTAGGAGTGGTACTCAGTATCTGCAATACGATATCAGTATCAGAAGAACATGTTGGTATGTTATCAGTGCATCCTTACTTAGATAAGAACAGAAAACCCACTGACTCAAAACACGCTTATAACAGAAGCCAATGGGAAGGTGTTTCAGCAACGGCTTCTGTTTTAAGTGTGTTTCGAGTCAGCAGGTTTTCAGCTCTTTTACTGAGTACAGGTAAACAGGGTGAAATGATTGTCTGTAGTCATCAACTGTATGCATACAACAGATTGAAAAAGCTGTAGAATTCCTTTAACCCAACACCAGCGGAGTAACAACAACTACAACTACTAGTGCACAGTATAATGGGACAAAAAACAAGATGGCAAGCAGCACATTTGAGTGAATTAAAAGGAGTCCAGATAACTCTGGAAAACACAGGTCATTGAAATGAAAACATAAAAAAACATCCAGTTATGAATCAGTGCACAAAACAGAAACAATGGCAAAACGGATGACAGGTTCACGAAGTTAGTAACTATTGAATTATTACATCTCAAGTTAAGAACACTGCATTTAGACAAGTTCAGTCCAGTCTCTAATGAACAAATGGATGAGATGTTGTTATATGGCTAAGTAAGGTGACAGAGTGGGATACAATTTTAGTCCAGACTTTCTTACGCTGCCACAGGCGGATTTTAGCAATGATGCGGGGTCCTGTCTTCTCAGGCACATGATCTGTTTCCTCCTTCTCCTCACACACTGTCTGCTTGCTCAGGGTCCTCCACTTGCTATTTCTTCCCCGCTCCGTGGACAAAAACACCTTGGAGGAGTCATGGTGCGCACTCAGATGTAAGCCTTTGCCATGGAGGGTCAGATGGCCCTTCTTCGAGCAGCTCCAGGCCTGGCCTTCGTTTTCTGCAGGGCTGCAGGCCCACAGCCCAACGTTCTCATGCTCTGTGATCTGGATGGCAGTCAAGCATTTGCCTGTCTGCGGGTTTCTGAGGGTTCGGCTCTCCGAGCTCCAGCGCCACTCCTGAAGGGCCAAGCCTGGTTTGCAGTCCTCCAGGCTCACACTGCTGTGGGCTTGGCCCTCCTGTACCTGCACACACTTTCCCAACTGTTCGTTTCTCATGCTCAACCCTGCCACTTCTACAGAGGGAAAAGAGGAGAACTTTGGAGCTAATTAGGGCATCTTTTTCAAATACACATGAAATACTACCACTTACCCTCGTTATCTAATAGAAAATACACCACCACTGTCAGTTTATTAGGTAAACTAACCTTGTACCTACACTTATTAGCCATTTTGTCAGGTATGCTTATACATGTTTTTTTTAAGATACTCATTCACAGTCAGTCAATGCTGTACTGAGAATGGTCCACCAAATAGTATCTGGTCTGTGGTGGTCTACGGTGGTTCCTTTTCATTCATGAATGAGGTAAGGGATAGCTGCCAATCATTCAATGGATAGGCGTAGTTATGGGTGATCTGCAAATTGTGCTACTGGCACATTCAGTAATTGTACAGTCACAAAAAGCACCTTTAGGGCAGGGATACCTGATTAAATGGCCAATGAGAGTAGTTACAAGTGTATCTAATAACCTGGTGCTGCAAAAAAGATGTAAATTTACAGCAGTAATCTACTGTATTCCTTAAATACAGTAAATTGCTGTAAAGAATGGTGTATTCTGGAAAAAACAAGTCAAGTTTTTTGTCAAGTATGTTAATATGTTTGATTTTACCGTAAATAGTTGCTGCAAAGCACATTGGGAAAGAGACCCGTACATTAGCCAGTCTTGAACGGCCTCTCTGAACATTTCGGCGATGGGATGGAGCTTACAAGCATTCCTTATTGCTAGCTTTTCTTAATTTGTTTTTTATGTTTACCTACAGTTCATTTCACATGAGTTTTTGTTTTAAGATCTTATTCCTATGTTTGAATGTATTCGACATGTTTTGTAGTGCTAACCATGGTGGTGTTTTGTGTTTCAGTGAAGTATTTGGTTACTGCTGTCTTTACAGTCTCTACAGTTTCAGTATTTGGTTACTGCTGTCTTTACAGTCTTAACGACAATGAGTGAGTAACTGCTGTAATGTGCTGCTCAGCTAAGGGTGTGATAAAGAGCCTCTGTTGTAAAAAAAACGAGTGATTGTTCTCTTAACTACGTCCTTACAGTATGCAAGAACATTCAAGCATGTGCTACTGGAAGCTAGATAGATTTGTGGTGTTTGCCTATATCTTTACAGGTCGTACTACATAATGCAGAAAAATGGAGGGTCTTCAGATGGCTGTAGTACTGTAAAAAAAAGCAAGTAAAATACTGGTAAAATTACTGCCAGTAGATGACTGTGATTTTACACTATTTTAGTATACTGACAAATTGACAGAAAAATGTGCTATTTCATATATTATTATTTCATATTAGTAAAAATGCAGTTTTCTTCGAAATGGTGGTAAATACTCAGAGGCTAGGCTAGCTTTTAGTTCATATCACAAGAACCAATTCAGTGAAACAGTTACAAGAGGAAGAGATAAAAGGGACGGTCAGCAACATGACAGATGGATGAACAAGCCGTTAAAATCCTCAAGACCCAAACAGAAGACAGATATTCTGGAGGAATAACTGTCCATACTGTCCCTAAGGTCGCCAGGAGTCGCAACCGACCTGACAGCACTTGATAATACTAACAAGACTAGCTGAGCTAATCAGTGCTGTGGGGAATCAGCGGGTCTGCATCAAAACATGTAGCTAGGATGAGCAGTTTGTGCTATTCCCAACACAAATTTATCAGACCAACAAATTTATCCTCATGAAGCCGAGTAGTTACTTCGTAAAAAAAAACGGCTTAAAAGGATTTAGCTAGCTAGCAAACTAACTTAGAGTTACCTAGTTAGCTAGTAGTATCGCCCAAACTCTGAATCTGTGCAGACAGTAAGTCTCCACTGTCTGGCTAACGGCAGGTGGCTGCCTGGCTACACTGGCCTCCTCCGAAACTACTTCGTGCAGACTTCACCTCGAAGTAACTTACAATTCATAGTCACTACATGCCGTTTCTGACTTTCACACACTTTCTGCGGATTATATAGGTTTACTACCGTGTAATGAATGTTTATTTACCTTGAATGAAGAGTGCGGTGAGCGTTACAGTGCAGACTCTCTTCCACTCTCCTCCTCCCTCCATGACAGCGGTGAGGACAGTCCGTTAGCCTGCTGCTCCAGAGCCTCTCTAGGTCGGAAACTTTGCCCAAAGTCTAATGCTGAGGTTCATACAACTGACACCCACCAGTGTCGATATCTCTCTGCTGTACTACCTCGTTTGATATCTTGCTGCACTGAAGTTAATATCAGTTTAGTTAAAAGAGTAGATGCTCCTCTTCAGCTCGCACACAAAAACAAAAACAGCTCCACTTGTTGGAAGATGGGCGATTTATGGCTGGTGGCAGGCAAAAATGCAGAACGAGTAAGTAGGGAATACTAATTAAGAAGACATAATGGGAGGTAGTAAAGCACCTTTCAGCTTTCAGTGTGTGGGAGAGAGGCGCGGTTTGGAAAACAGTCCCTTAAAGTTAAAGGATTATGCTGGTTACCACTTCTATCTGCTAAAACATCCAGAAATGATAAGTGTCAGCCCAAATGGCCAAACTGTAAACCCACTTTGACTGAATTCAGAAACAACAAATACCCGAGACTAATGTGCGAGTTACGCGCATCTGAATAGAACAGTAGTGACATCAGAGCGCCGCCTACAGGCCACAACAACAACATGCCAGCACGTCCAACAACAGAGCTGCTTTGATTACTGCAGTAACGAGTAGAAAAGGGGGACGAAGTGATAAACAGCATTATTGTTATAGTTTACGTACAATAACTTACCAGTAGCTGCTTAAATATTTGTAAACGCAAATAATTTGATCAAGTAAATAGCCGAGCCTAGCATTTCAGGTTAAACTAAAGGGGAATTCCGTTTTGCAAAATTCCTGCATGATTAAATGGTTGAGATGTAAACAGAGTCGGTTGGTGTGAAATGCTCCGTTCTGCCTGAAGGCATTGTTTTACATTAGTGTTAGTTTTGAGAAAAGCCTAAAACATGTATTTTTACATGTATTTTAAAACATAGACATATATGCACACACACACACACACACACACACACACACACATATATATATATATATACAAGGCAAAATAGTATAATCTGGAAAAATAGAGAACTTATTCTTCCAGATTTACCACTATCAACATTACATATCACTGCTTTCAGAAAAATGGTAACTTTACATGAGAAGAAAAACACCACAATTGAATTATTATGAAATGGTATGTCTTAAGACTTCTTGCAGAATGTTAATGTCTTAAGATTGTGCAGTGAAAACAGCAGTGTTCATACTGGTATATGATCTCCACAATCCTGAAGGAACCAAAGATTTAAAAAGAAGAAAATGTAGTAAAAGAAAAAGGTGAGAAAGACCTAATTGGGGAAGACCAAGTGCCCACATTAAGCATCTTTAAACAAATCAGCATTGAGAAGCACATGATGACATTATTGATAGTGTCCACAGCAAGACTGACTGCAGTCAAGTAGTTAAATGTTTTGTTCACTAAATTATTTGGGAAAAAAACAAGTTCCCATCTTAGTTTACACCACATTGAAAATATGTAAGGACAAAGTCTTGTAATCATTTAAGCAAATACTCTGATGCTAAATAGTCAGTATACATAACACACCAAAGAGCCAAAAAGAGTTTCACAGAAGTGAGAAGGTCTGAAGTTGTGTTCAGAGTCATACACACTTCAAACATTTTATGTTCCTTGTGATGTGATGCCTTTTGGAAATGAAGCCAAGGTCAGTTTCACTTGGTGTTTGAAGAGAAAGGAGAGAATGGGTGAATTACAATCTACCTTGTACAGAGTTCTAAAAAATGTAGGCCTTTTGTGGAAGAAAACGTGACAAAAATAACTAATCATGGCAAATACTTGAGGTCTATTCAACATTTCTTGGACTCTGGATCTCCATCATTATAGGTGCATCATAAATGTGCATTAAATTTACATTCATGTATTATTATTTTTCCCTGATTAGTGAGGAGAAGAAATATCTGGTGCAAGACTGAAATCAAATCAACCTATTCAGAAACTCATCAACTGAAGTTGGAAGTTATGTAGCTCATAATTACAGAGAATATGATTTGAAACAAATAGGCTGTTTGTTGATGTCCAGGAGCTGAACCACACAATTGTGCACTTCTGAATGTGGTCGTGCATGTCATTAGAGCATGCAGACTTTCCCATATTCAGTGAAAGAGGAAGAGGAGAATGGATTTGAAATATCAGAGGTGTATACAACATAGTTTGAGGTCAAGGAGGGACTCAACATCGGCAAAATTGAGCAAATTGAGGGGAAAAAGACAAGAAATTGAAGAAGACCAACATGAAGCAAACAAGCTTGAAGAGGCACCAGCATGATGACTTTTGTGACAGTGGAGTGGCTAAATCAAGGCTGACTGCACTAACAGTCTGGACTGATTAGAGTTTACTAATCATCAATCTGACTCCCTTGGAACTACTTGAGAAAACCTAGAGGCTGTTTAGACCTTGCATCATCAACATGCGTTTTCAGTGGTCAAATCACATTCAGATTTTACTTCACCGCATAAAAAGCCAGGTGTAAACACAACTAGGACATCTAAGTATTTTGATTAGATTACAATGAGATCACTCAAACCACATTCGAACATGGTCAGAGACAAATCTTGACCACATTCACATCCAAGTGTAAATGGAATGCATTTTCTATATATTCTGTGTTTTTTATAAATGTATTTCCAAATACAATTACGTAAGCAAAAATGTGTCTGCCAAGCAGCTGACAGGATAAATAAGGAAACGCAAGATGGAGGATGCCTGAGGCCTTCTTGCACTCTGGGCCAATGAAAGCTTCCAGGTCTAACTTGTCAGTTCATGGTAGGTGGCAACAGCGGAAAACGTAAATGCAAGTACAACAGAAACTATGTACAGTCATATGCAAAAGTTTGAACCCAGTTACATGTTTTTATGATTTTCTATTTGGTAGTTCCTATTTATTTGCTGAGTTTAACATATTAGAGAAAAATTAAGAATAATATAAAATGAACCATAACTTTTGCACAAACCTCATTTTATTTTTTCTTAATATGTCAGATTCTGCAAATAAACAGTAATAGTGCAGAATGTTCAGAGGTGTGTTATCTGTAGACTGTAGTTTCTTAGTAGACTAAGTAACATATCTTCACTTAGAAAATCAACAAAACATGTCATTTGACCAGGGGCGCCCAAACTTTTGCATACAAGTATATATGCTGAAGTGCTTTTAATGAAGAAAAGTAAAACCCTCATCTCATCTGGTATGATTAGTGTAAAGGCCAAAGTATATCCAGATACCACCCAGATATGAATCACATGCTAATGCAAGATTTAAGTAGCCTCATAGTGCGAACTTGAATAAACTCACTTAAGCAGGTAATGTTTGCCACAGAAGCTTTTCAGTACAATCAAGCCCTGACCGATACCAAAGGTGGAAATGACAAGGAAGAGAGTGCAGCTGATGGTAGCAAAATGTTTAATAAACCAATTCAGGTATGTCGGTGATATAGTTTTTAATGTGGCCGTTTAATTTAGAAAAAGCTGAAATGTTAAAATCTGAAAACAAGCTGCTCATTAATTTCATCTGTTTGACACATGCAGTTAACATGCAGAACCATAAATAGGCATCCTAAAGCATTTAAACCATTTAAAACTCGTTAACAATGTCTGTAAAGTTGCGAATGCTTTTACATTTACAGCAGAATACCTTGTATTCATGTGAGGCTAAATAAGCACAAGCCCGATTCTCACATTGCTTGTAGATGGTCTTTTGTTTTAATGTTGTCACAGGCTCTTAAAGTGAGATGATTTTCTGAGAACTATGTATTGTCTTACAAGCAAGCAAACTGGTTCTCAGGGCCTTCCACCTGTTATCAGCTTGGCTAGCATGCCTTTGTATAAATGAAAGAACTAGATAGCATCTCCATTCATCTGTGTAGACCACCTTAAAAAAGGTGTTTGGATCTTCATCCTCTAAAAGACAGAGTTCTCCAACATCATTCTCTGTGCTGACCGCAGGTGCTGAGGCACCTGTTACACACTTTGTGATGGAGAACCTCATTCTGATGGTGGTCCTGCAGAAATCATACTAGTTGAATGCTTCAGCTTATTTGGTGATGGTATCTCAGGTGGATGTGGCTTTCTTTGCAGTTCCAACTTTGCCTGAGCAGGGATTAGTTTCAGAGGCCTGCCGCTTCGCTTTCTCTCTCCTCTGGATTCTTTGTGTGGAGATTCTGTTTTCTTCATTGACTGGCATCTCTGTTTTTGTGGTGGATCCTTGACGTCATCCTCCTGTACATCTAACTTACAGTCCTGCCCAAATAACAACAGGTTTAACACATTGCTATAAAGCTGCAATTGGTAAGATTGTGCAACATGCAGACAAATTATATAATTGAGTTTAACCAAAAAGATGATTTATGGCAGTGAATATAATGTGCGTATATAACCACTGTCTATGTGCTGTACACAAATTCTTCTGTTCTTATGTTGTGAGGTTGGACAAGCTTTACAGAACGGACAAAAATCCCATTCAACTTAATAAAAACTTGGGTGATCGGGTGTAGTTTTAGTTCATCTCACCCTCCTTACAGCTACAGCAAGCGTCCATGACTGAATCATCTCCTAATGTTTTAGAGACTGCGTGGCTTATTGATGCTGGGATTTTGTGGTTTATTATTTTGTTGTTGGGACCTAAAGCTTTCCACCTCTATGTGTCTCTCTGCTGCTGACTCAGCCATGCTGTAGAACAGTGGTCATCTACCCTGCTCTGGATATCTGACCATCCTGCTGATTTCACCTCCAACTCAAGTCTAACACACCTCATTCCCCAGGGGTGTCCAATCTCATCCACACTGCGGCTGCAGGTTTTCATTCCAACAAAGCAGGAGCAAAGCAAGAATGGGTACCACTGCTGGAAATCAACATGATATTTTTAACCATCTCAGGTTGATGATGTCGTATGTGACATCAAAGGATGTTGTAGATAAAAGAAAACATATTTTGTGAACGCATGCTAGAGATGTACTTTCATTTTGCCCGGAAGGGTAGCATTGTTCCAGCGACAAGTTAGGAATACAGCCTTTGATTGGTCGACAAGTCAAGAACACAGCTTCTGATTGGTCGACTCACTCAACCCAAGGCGTCAGTGGACAGCTAACTGCCCTGCTAACAACAACAATAACTGTTTTCAGCACTGAGGAATGGATAAATAATCTCACAAGACATTCAGTGTTGGATTTGCCATTGTGGATGTATTTTTCAAAGACTCAAGTCTACAGTAAGTCTGTAGCATGCAGCGTTCCCAAGATGTTTATTCTTTTATGTACGACGTCCTTTGATGTTGCATTTTCCCTGTAACTCAGATTAAATAGGACACTCTTGGCGCTCTGTTTGTGAAATGTTGTGATTCTTTGTTGAGCTGCTAGCGAGCAATGAAAGGTGATAGTGGAGAGGTGAAAACTCCTGACTCTGAAAACAATTCATACCTCTCCAGAAAGATGGCCGTGCCGAGATAAAACAGATAGCATAACTGCAGTGTGCTTGATTTAAAAAACTGTGTACAGCTGCCACAAAAAATAGCATTTAAACGCCCACAAAAAAACACTTCCATAAAGGTTTACTTGCTTGCTGACCATTCAGTTTGCTCCCAGTTTTGTAAATCATACACATTCCTATTGAAATATATTCCATCAATGTTATTGAAGAAAATTCCTGAGTCAACTGAGGGAGCTCCTCTAAAACAGGCTGCTGTGAAAAGGGCTTGGCTAGGAAACTCTACAACGCTGCTACAGTTTTTTCATTAGGCTGAAAGGAATTTATACCAATGTTCTTTAAAGCCTGTCCAGTCCAGCAACAGTACCTATTAAAGAAAGCATCTGTAGGCAGAGCATAGATCTATCAGGCCAAATCATTGTGGTCCACATGATTACCTGTGAGGGATTTGGGATTCTGATAACAGGCACACAGCCTTCAGCCCAAGAGTCTGGGATGGAAGGGAGAGGTTCCGTGTCCTCCTGCAAGTCTGAGATTATGTTCGCTTCATCACCTTCATCACGCATTAGGTATTGGTAATTTATCACCTGGACCATAGCATCCTTTGCCCAAGCCACACAGAATGGCACTAGCTGTGTGAAGGACAAATGTTTTAATGGCTCATACCCTACATAAGGCATTAATGTATTACTTTCAGAGCAATGCATTCAGCTGGCATTGATACACAAGGTTATCGGAACTATAACTTTCTACAACTGAGCTGTATTACCTGTTCCTTAAGGTCCAACTCGTAACACTTCTCCATCACACTATTCAAGAGTTCCTCCACCGTGTCTGCCACAATGTCCTCTCCATCTTGCTCAGATATCATGGACAGCCATTCAGACTCTGTGAGGCGACCACAGACAATGTCCACCACGTCTGGAGTTTGAGTGGGAGGTGGGGGCTGTGCAGATGTGGTCCGTCCCTTATCAGCTCGACTCTTGGATGTGGCGCGTGACATGGTTCCTAAGGAAATTAATGTAAAGATAGCCGCGGATTGTTTTCTGACTTTGATTTTCCAGTCCTGAAGACTGCTGCAACTATTAATATGTTATAATGCAACATCTACTTCTGTAATATCTGTCCAAGAGACACTCCTTCTAGTTAGCAAATTTAGCTACTTTAAGGTGCACTCAGTGCTGAAACAGACATTCAGTTGTGCACACACAGCTTGTATAATCTACATAGTAAAGCACTGTCAGTAGAATGGGATGCTCTGGATCATTAGCACATGAGCCTAAGGTCACCATGCCCAATGCCAAGCACCAGCTGTCAGGACACTGTTACTAAGAAAAAAAGGAAAATTTACAAATCAAACAAAGAAGCTGCTGGTGTTATCAAAACAATGAGCTGGAGTCCAGACTTCAATGTCACTGGACGTGTGCAGGATTACCTGGATCGTGGCAGGCAGGGAATGCAACCAACTTGTCAGACTGAAATTTGGAAGTGTGGAAAAATATCCCTGCAGATTTGAAACACTGAAAAGAAAGAAGGCTGTAATGAAGGCAAAGGGTGGACACGTTTTGATATCATATTTTGTTGTTGAGGCTTCTGTGTAACCATCTGTTAAATATATTTTTTCAGTTTTTCCTGATGCTGAAAAATAATACCTTGAAAATAATGTTTTTTTTTTTTTTTTGATTGGACGTTAAATTCTATCAGCAGCACAGTACAAGTTAATGTGCGTCTGATTTAATTAATTCAGTATTGAATAGCCAAATCACTACTTATTGTATTGTTGATAGTATTTATTATAATAAATTAAATAGTGTTACACACGTTTATGTCCCAATTAAATCACTTTTTACATACATTTTTTGCAAAGTACTGTGTGATAATGAAAACAGATCAGTCCACTGTGATCTCTGTGATTTCATAACGTCGATTTACAGTCCTTAGGAAGACAAATGTAAAATAGCTTAACACCTCCAAACAAATTAATTAGCTAACGTTAAAACACTTGCAGCCAACTAGCGCACATACACGAACACAACACTGACTGCAAAGTCGACATTGTAAAGTCACCGTTATAGATGATGGATGAACTCCTCTCTAGAGCACAGTTTACTGAAGCGAGTCCGTTGACTTAACCCGAGTGAGCCGTTTTTCACGCTGCTTTCGCTCCTCAAACGATCAGATGCAAAGTCCAGCTCCGTTTTCTGAAAGTGAAAACTAAATGGAGTAAATTTGCAATCTCCTCTGGCCAGCTGGACATAGAATGTTAGTTGCTAGGCAACACATGCCTCTGAGGGTCTTGCCACGCCCACGAACTCCCGCCTGCCTCAGAGAAACCTGAACTACGGTCGTGTTCCAATGGACGTGTATGCTAGCACACTAGCTAGGACATTCTAGTAAGACGTACACATTATTGACTGTGAATAGGCGACACGTAAACCACGGAAATTGGAACCCATTTCAGAATGTGTTCCTTCCACTTAACTTCAGTGCAACGATTTGTCTAGAGAGAAGTAACAACAGCTAACGACATGTGTGGTGCGCACTAGCTAGGCACTCTAGTAAGGACGCAAGCACACAGATTGGAACGCACCCTCAGTGTACGCACTACGTTGCCGCTGCCGTCACCATGGCTGCAGAGGACGCGAAGTGGTAAGAGCTGTTCCGCCTGTTAGCTAACGTTAGTGAAATCTGGCGGCTGTGGCCCTCATTTACGGTTAACTCGCGTTGTCCACGTTGTCAACGTTTATTCACACGTTTACTGACACCTTACGTTGTTAAACACTGTTGAACTGACTAAACATGATATTTTCTTTCAAACACATACGCTGTAGCTAATGTTAGCTGGCTGTAGCTCACTTGCTAGCTCTACTCCGGTACAGGGTGGGGGGGAGGCTGTAGCTTGGTGGCCTCGTCTTGAGTTAGCCTGCTAGCTAACTAATGTTGCTGGAGCCAAACGGTGACTTTCCTCTCAACTATTTACTCTGCATTTTTAAAGCACTGATTTTCGTAAGCCAGCATAATCGGTTGTCAGTCCATCAATGCGGTTAATTAACCGGCGCAAGGATGCAGATTAACCTAGTCTAATTTCCTCCAAGCTTTTTAGCTACTTGTCTTGCTGATGTCTTTATTTATCCCAACGTAGCTAGCTTAGCTAACGTTACAGTCAATGAAGAAACGAACCTTTTTATGAATAAACATTTTTATTTGATAAATACAGTGAAAACTGACAGTATTTTGTTAAACACAGTGACAAATTCACTACAGTTAGTTAAAACAAGTTCAATTCAGGATGCCTTAAAGGGGAACTCCACGAATTTTGTCCAAAGTTCTACATAATTAAATGGTTAAGATATAAACAAAGTCATTCAGGGTAGTTTGGTGTGAAATGCTCCGTTCTAGAGAAACTTGCCTAGAATTGTTCACAGTATTGTTGATAGGAACCAGACGTCTGAAGAGTTTAACGCTTCTGAAAGCTCCCCTCACAGACAGCTATAACATGAAATGGCTGTAAATACTCTGCCTGATACCTGAGACATTGTTTTTTGGTAAAGCCTTGGCCTAAAACATCTTGTTAATCCATTAATTTTAATCCATTTACATATAACAAGTCAAAAAACACGTGTAGGTTCACTGGTGGTTTTGGATAGTAAATATAGTGGCTATATCTGTGTTGTAGACATTGTGACCCTTGGTTTTTATCACCACTGTAAAGAATCAGAGCGTGTAAGTTTCTTTACATCAAACCACTTTGAATGACTTGTTTACATCGCAACAGTGGAATTATGCACAAAAACTTGAAACATCGGTGGACTTCCCCTTTAAGACAAATCTTACATGAACAGTAGAAGCTGTAATGTTTCTCTCTCTGTGTTTTAGAAGTAATTGTGGGGGCTGCTTTCATTCATTTGCTCAGAAATGGCAAAAATGTATCATAAAGAGAAGAGCATCCAGATAAAGAGCAGTGCATCTGCTCTCTACAACAACCTCAGTGTGCTGCGCATTGCCCCGCGCTGCCTCACCTATTTCACTGTGGTCCACGCCAACGTGGTCAACATGGTCAGCGCCTCCTGGGATGGACTGAACTATTCACACCGACAGCTGCAGTCCAAAGAGGGCAACGTGGCCACCAGCTCCTCACTCATTATGCAGGTAATGTTTGCGTTTGACAGGTCCTGCTCCATCTGTATGAATAACAACGTATGCTCGTATTACGCATTCTGTATCTGATAGTCCTGAAAATACACTCACCATTCACTTCATTAGAAACACCTTCCATGTACTTTCACTCACTGATCACTTTATGAGGAATAGGTCTATGGTTACACATTGTAGCCATATTTGTCAGCCACCATCTATAAAGTCCATCAGTGGTCAGCTTCTGATTGCTGGACCGCTGTTGACCAGATATTATTTGGGCGGTGGATCATTTTTAGCACAGCAGTGACACTGACATGACAGTGATGATTGTTGCATGAGTGGTGCTGGTATGAGTGTATCAGGAACAGTGGTGCGGCTCAGGTTTTTACACACGTCAGTGTCAATGAACTATTACATTATGATTAATTAATTGCCTTTTTTCCATTTTTTTTTTGATAATCTACATCAAACATAATCTGTCGTACTGCATTATAAAGAGACGAGAGACGACAGTATATACATATAACTGACACATCAGACTGTTGATGCACATCCACTGTCTGCTCTCTAAGTGGCGACCAATCAGACTGTCGATTTGTGGCGTGGTAACCGATTGTGTCACACCCACGGTAATGTGGTGAGAACACACACTGAGCGGTTTATAGAGCATTATTATTACATTAAATTATTTTTTTTAAGTTTAAAAACAGTATTAGGCTGCTTTGGGGTTCAGAACTGGCCTCTATCTCTACACACACTTTGTCTCTTGGCACCACAACCTGCTTTTTGTAGTGACGTTCCTCCAAAGCATCTAACTGTTGTGGAGGAAAACGATACGGCTCACTGTAATGAAAACACCACGTAACTTTCACAGTGCATGGCTACTGTAGATTTTGAAGATATAAAATAAAATTAAGAAAATACAAACTCCTTTAGCACACATGAATCTTTGCTACAGTCAAATTGTTAAAAAGTTCAGATCTCTTGTTGTTATTATTATTGTTTTTAGCAGTTGCAGTTCTGAAATCTGGGTTTGCTGCAGCCCCCTCAGCACCTCCATGTCCCGCATCCCTGTGTGTGTGTGTGTCAGACCAATAAAAACTAATAGATATTAGATTGAAGATTCTTTATTGCCACACAACATTGTTGTTGTTATTTCTGTTTGTTGCAGCTGTGTGTGTGTATACAGCCACAATGAACAGCAACAGTAACAAAACTGTAAGATAGAAAGTCCAAAACCACGAAAACTATAAATAAATAAATAAATAAAATGATAAAGTGTAGTATCTGTAAGCAATTAAAATAGTGTAAATTGAACCTTCTGTTGTTTGTGCAGGCAGCCTGGTGTGTCCTACCATCCAGAGACCTCCTTGTCCTCACGTCTCAAAAAGGGATACAGGTGGGTCCTGAACATACAATTCACATACGGTAGCCACCATGTCTCTGTTCTAAAGTTCTGTCTTTATATAATAGATGTACGAGTCTGATGGCTCCATTATGGTGTATTGGCACGCACTGGACACTCCAGAGACTCCCACAGGTACGCTCAGATTCAGTGCTGTTGAGAACTGCTTTATATGTGTGTAGCTGTGTTTCCATCTATGTTTTTATGTGTATTTTGACATGCTGCATAAAAATGACTTGATGGAAGCAGCATCAAATAAAATATCTAAAATATCTTTGCATAAAGGTTTATACTCTCACTTGAGGTGTATACAATGTATTTTTAATAAATCTGATAAATTACCATTGAAATGGGTTGTCAAATAAATAATGCAAATGTGGATAGAATAAAGCCATGTGACTGATTACTATTGTATCAGCTCAAGCAGTGTTTGCGAGAGGGATTGCTGCAGTGAGAGAGAAATACATCTGTGTAGGTAAGTGTGATGCAAACAACAGCACTGACTTCTAACTGAAAGGATATCCTTCTTTGATGGTTCATTATGGTCTGTTCATAGCTAATGGATATCATACTTTTTCCATTTCCCTATACCTCTGTTCCTGTTAGGGGTCTCGTCTGGTTCAGTGCTGGTGTTTGATGTTCCCAGCAAAGGAAGCAACATTACACTTTCTGAAGTCCTAGAGGAACACACAGAGGCTATCACAGACATGGCTTCAGAGTGCTCAGGCAGTATGGTAAAGTGCCTACTTACTCTACACTGGGATAATAAAATTAGGCACAGATCATAAAGTTATCAGCCCTTGGTCACACATGTTTCTTGGGCCATACTACCTTTTTGGATGGTCAGAGAATTTTTTAGGATATCACAGAAGGTTATGCAGCACTGCAGTAGCAGAACACTAACTGTGGTGTTGGGCATGCCACAGCTTTAGGTTTTTTTTTCCACAAGGTAATAACAACATTACTTACACATTATTCACACAGACAAAGCAATAACAACATTACTTGCACATTAATGAAAGGGCAGGTGATATAACCCCAACAACCAATGGAACATTTCCCTATAAAGGATGCATTCGCTCTTGAAAAGTAACACATTTACCCCATTGAAGGCAAAAAACTGAATTTTGGCCAGCTAAATATACATAATTAAGGCCAAAAAAACAGCAAACTTAAAAACCCAAACCATCAAGCATCCAAAACTAAAGCATACTGCCACAGTGGGTATGGAAAATGTTTTGTTCCCATTCCATTTATATCTTACCTCTGATGACTTTATGCACAGGAGTAGACAGTTTGCGGATCTTTACTGACAAGGACTATAACCATAACTATCTTTGTCTGTATGACCGACTAAACTTTACAGTTATCTAAAGCTAGTAGTTATATTAGTTATGTCAGTAGATACGGTTTAGCAGATTGTAATAAACTGATGATGCTTTAATTCTAATGCATTTCTGTCTCCCTCTATCAGGAATGTATAGCTGATTTGGTGAGTGCTGATGACTCAGGTCTTCTCTGTGTGTGGAAATCTGGAGGGGATTTCCAGCTTCTCAACAAGATCCCTGGATTTGAGTAAGTGGAAAAAAGTCTAGAGTATGTACAGGTTTGGGATGTAATGGAATACAAGTATTGCCATCTGTGTTCAGTCCAAGTTACATTTTGAAAAGGCAGTATTCAGAATACCAAACAGTTACTTTTTACATTTTAAAGAGAAAAGAGAATAGTCTTAGAATACTTGTCCATTAAATTAAAAAAGAATATATATATATATATATATATATATATATATTATATATATATAATATATTACACCATCTTTAAAGGAAACACCATTAATGCTTGTTTATGAGCCATTTTAAAATGAGCACATGTACTGTAAAGAAGAACTAAAAAAAAAGTGCTCTTTAAAAAAACTTCCTGCTAAAGCCTGAGTGGACTGATAAATCAAAGTGATGATCAGTTATTAATTTTTTTGTTGCTGAGCTCTGCTAAAGCCTAACAGTTATTAAATTCAGCTATTTATGTCAGTGTTCCTGAGGTCTTTTAAGGGATGATCAAACTAGTAATGTTCCTTATCAATATATATTTTAAATGTATTCTAAATGTATTCTGATTACATTACCTTTTTATGCATTGTAACGGAATACATAACTAAATAGGACAGTGTATTCAGTATTCAGCCATCACTACTTTTTCGTGGTGTTTTGCCCAACTCTGAGTATGTGCTTGAGACAAATAATGTAAACAAAAAATGAGCAAACAGAATGCAAAAAATTAGTGCCATGATTTGGAACTTTCTAAAGTCTTTCAAAAGCTGTGAAACTGTGACAAAAAGTGGAAATGCTTTTCATTTTTGACATCTCTTGAACTCCTAGCACTAGCTGTTCCTCTGTGAAGCTGTGGAAAGGCACTGTGATAGCCGGTTATGGCACAGGACAGATTCGCCTGTACGAGGGAGTCACTGGGATCCTGCATGCTGAGGTCAATGCCCACGCCCGCTGGATCTACTCACTGGACATCGCTCCTTTCACTGGTCTGGTAAGAGCAGCAGATCTCGCTCATGACAGCATGCGTAACACTGATTTATGGACAGTGACTGTATGTGTTTCTTTAACTCTGTCAACTTAAAGCTGCTGTCTGCTGCTGAGGACTCTCTAGTTCGAGTATGGCATTTAACTATCACCCCAGAAACCAACAGTGTAGAGGTGAGTTATTGTTTCGTCAGTTAGCCTCTAAATTCAAAGCCATCAGATATAAGATCTGACGTTTTAGCAGAACTGTCTCTGTTGCCCTTTATATTTGTCTTATAACTGCTATAATAATAATTTTGAAGTTTTTATGACCTAAATAATAACCATTAATAAACTAAATTTAAACCATCAATAAACCATTTACAGATCATTCTACTGAATTGGGTCAGAGTTGAAAACCCTCTTTGGACTTTTAACTGACTTGGACTAAAATCCTTTTGCTTTGAGTGACATTATATTTTAATTATGTTTATTTTATTGAAGCAAATAATTGAACATTCCATTTGTCAGTACTAAAACAATCATAACACTACTGAAAGCAAATGTTTCAGTAGTGACTATTTCAGTCATGACAATTTAAGCTAATTTTGAGCAGACCTCAAAACCCTTACCAGTACATGACTAGTAAACGCAGCTCTGAACTGGGACTGTCACAATCATGGAATTTTAGCTGATGATTAATTGTCACATAAATAATTGTGGTTCACGATTTAGTTGTCTGTTCAATGTTTGCAACTATTAAAATGTAGGCCTGAAGTGGCCAGATTAGCTGATTAGCCATCTATCTTCTTAGTTGTTTAGCATGCATAGAGTCAATTAATGAAATGCATATTTTTTAAAGTGAAAATGTATGCAAAAAAGAAACTCATTCTGCTAGCATAAGAGTATCAAGTTAGAAGTTAGACTTTTTATTTTCAGGAGTGTGAATGCGCATACTTCTTGCATTTATTTACATTTGTTTGCCTCAATCCAGCACAATCCAGTGGACTAATATGAGTTTGAAATCTAATGACTGTAGAAAGCAACTCCAGCTTAAATAATTGAGATCATCTCAAATAATTCCAGTAAGACGATTATGTAATAAGGCCTACTTCAAACTTAAGTAGTTTTTAATGTTATACACTGATTTTCAGACTTTGGGACATGTTTACTTTAAAACCAGGGGATCTAACTGCTTAGAATTCCTGCTCTAAAATGCAGGGGTGTGGCTAAAAAAGGCTCTATCTATGGACTAAAATTATGTGTTTTATTTAAAAATTAAACTCATCATGAATCTAAACCTTTCAGCTTCACTTTAAAACTAATCAAAATGATCTTTCAAAAACAACATTGAAAAAAATATACAAGGTTTAAGTATTATTTTCACAAGTTAGGACTTAGGCAGGTTTTTTTTAGGGTTTGGCACAGTCGCCTCCCAATAAAGAGCAGCCTATAAATGATGATTTTGTATATATTTAGCTTATTACTATCTCAGTTAGTAGAGATCATAACATAATTCTTATAAATATGTAAGGTCTGAGTGCATAATTGTTTTTTAAAATGTTTTTTTACAATGGAACCACAGTTTGGAGTAATTTCGAATAGTGGTAAATAAAAGGGTAGTCCAATTGTGAAGTGGTACCCATATTTGTGGGCGGGGCAGGTTTAGGTCAACTGTAACATGATCTGATCTTAAATGTTTCCTTTTTTGTTGTCCTTTATCTGAACAGCCTAAAATAATTACTTTGTAAATCTATCAAAAGCAGTTCATCCATATCGTTCCTCTCTTTTTCTATGTCCAGATCGAACACCTGTATAATGAATGTGTGACGGACACTCAGATTTGTGGAGCCAAGTTCTGCGACGGCGACGGCTACGCATTCGCAGTCACGGGCTACGACTTGAGCGAGATCATCCGCTACACACAGGCTTAGAAAGTGCTCCCTGTGATTATCTGAGGAACGTTTACTGTAAGACACAGGCCTGACTGTGTATGATGGTAGAGCTTGTTTGTTTGTGATTTGGTTTACAGTATAGGTGCAGGGAGCAAGACTGTCAGCAGTACATTGTGTTCTGTGTACTGTAGTGGAAGCTGAACTCTGGGTCCAAAGAGGCGTGTGAAAGTCATCATCATGTTTCTGCAGCCATTCATTGGTCTAATTTAATCACACTGGTCAAAGTGAAGCCTCAGTATAAAGGAATAGTTTTGCAAAAAATCTAATTTACACAGGTTTTCCTTTAATTCAGTTGCAGTGAGTCAGCCAAGCGTTTGGTATCTGACGTTTGTGTCTTTTCTGGAGCTAAGAGGCTAAATAAGCTAACAAATAATGGAAGCTTATACTGACCAAATGGAATAGTGAAAATGACATGCCTAAACATTCTTAAACTGCGCTGTGTAAATTAGATTTGTCACAAAACGTATTCTTTTAAAGATGAGGCAAGCCTGAGATAAAAATGTTCTTGCAGTCAGTTCTTTTCTAAAGAGGCTGCAGCTGAAAATACAGGGTGGATATTTTGAAAGAGTATAGGAGAGAGGCAACAAAAGACTGGTAACTAGACATGACTGTGATAATAGCATATACGTTCAAATAGACATTTAAATTAAAAAATTATATTAAGTAGGAATGTCTTTGTTTCATATAGTACTGTGCAAAATTCAGAGACCACCCTTTCATTGATTTACTTTCCAGTCAAAAATGCCTAGTAAGTACAAATTATTTAATTTTAGCTTGGTTTCGGCAGCAAAATGATATGAGAGTATTACACAGAAGTCTCCAACACTAAGGATAATGTCAAATCTATCATTGTTTAGTTTGTCCACTCATTAGATTAGTGCACCCTACTGCCAAAGCAACTACCCAAACTCACCTTAGCCTTTGCATCTACAAAGGCTATAAGAGATATTTCTGAGGAGATTAGATTTAAGATAATCTACTTGCATAAGGAAGTGGAAAAGCAAAAGAAAATCAGTGAAAAAACAGGAGTTTCCAAAAACTGGAGTTAAAAAATGAATAAATTTTATAGACAAAGATAAGGTAGGATAAGATCAAGCTCTACTTTTGCTTCAGATCTGAAGAAATCCACAGATGTTTCTGTCCACTGTGAGAAGACAACTCAACACTAAGCTGTTGCTGAGAGAAGGAATAAAAATTGCAATTCAGTGGACGTCTGGACTGGACATCTGAGATGTGGAGTAAGGTTTTATGGATGAAAATGATGAGCAGAAAACACAACCATCTGAACTTTGGAGGTGTGGAAAAATCTTCCTGCAGATTTCTTTGAAAAACTGAAAGTAAGTCTCCTGAAAAGAATGAAAGCTACTATGTTTAGTTGTGGAGCCTTCAGTGTAATTTTCAGTTAAATATATATGTGTTTTCTACCTTTTTCTTGATGCTGAAAGTTGTATCTTGCACTTAATGGCTGGCTGTTTTGACTGGAAATCAAATAAATGTGGGGTGGTTTCTGACTTTTGCACAGTACTACAGGTGTGTATGTATTCTTGTATACTTCTGTACTAGGGGTTATATTGGAACCATGCTGAGTGACTTCTTTACAGTAGACGTTATGTGTATCTTCATATCAAAATGTGGCTGAAGTCGACTTTGTATCAACATAGTTTGAATGTATTTATTTAATATGAATGTTGTTGTGTTAATGAGACAGACTATTTTTCCTTAAAGAATTCTTATGTCTTACATTGTGCACTTCTGGTGCAAGAGCTGTTGTCATAAAATTATAGTATTATATTTTTCTTGATCAAAAACGCTAGTCAATAAACGTTCATGCTACATTTTATCACAGCTTTTGTTGCAATTCTATAGATCCACCAGTAGATGGAGCTAAAATTGAATATTGGAAGCTCACCACATCTTAAAAAAGGCATATGAAAGGTATGATTTTTCAAAATGCCAATGAACTGTTACAGTGAATGATAGTAATTTTGTATGAATCACTATAGGTTTGATTTCCATCGCATAAATCCTTGAGAATTACTGTCAGCAGAGTGTAATCTAAGAGGAAGACCAGGGGTTATGGTTACGCTTGGGATCTGACCCATTTAAACAACTTCTTGTTTTCTTTTTCTAACAGGAGTGTATACAACACATAATGCATGGCCATGTGATAGTGTGTTGATTAGGTAAGCTGTATGACATCACTGATCATAGAACACATCTAAACGTCTGCTGAAGCTTTTGGCACAAGGTCTCTCTATATGGCTTTAGTAATGTTAGGGTGGCTACTACCTATTATATTAGTAATCAAGTAAACAAAAACTAAACAAAAGTCAGAGAACACATTTCATTTAATGAAAAGACAAATGTAAATGAAGGAAAAAACAAAAGTTTCCAAAACTGGAGTTAAAATGATCAAAAGATTTAGAGAAAATGGGACTCCTAATAAACAAAAAAAACCACAGCTGTTTCTGTCCATCCTTCTACTGTGAGAAGACGATTCAATGCTATGATTGTGAAAGGATGTGTAATTGACAGGAAGCTGTTACTGAAAAGGAAATAGACAAAAAAGAAGAACATTTACAGATCAAACAAAGAAACTGCTGGTGTTCTCAAAACAACTGCCGCCCCAGAAGGTCATTAAATGTGTTTGGGATAACATGGATGATGAAAATTGGAAAATGCAACTAGCATCTAAGACTGAACTTTGGAGGTGTGGAAAAATATCCTTGCAGATTCTCCCAAAAAGAAGTGAAGCTGTATTAAAGGCAAATGGGGAACATGCTAAACAGGAAAAAAATGATTTAATATTTTGTTTTATGTTATTTTATACATTACGGGCCACTGGAAAAAAGTATCTAAAAATGTTATTTACCTTGGCAGTAAAAATGCTAATATCAGCATTAATGCATTAAGTAGTTATTTTATGTATGCCAATGTGTTGGCTTATCAATTTTCAAACCACTCCTCCAGGACATCCAGTAATATTTATTATTACTTTCCAATATCTGGTTTGCTGTATGATTATGGCTTTTTAACATGTTAAATCAAGTGTTCTGGTGATGGAATTTAATTAATCTGTGTGATGGCTGGAGGCTTGGAGGAAACATCTGGAGCCAAACTAGCTCAGAAGATATCAACTTCTTCTCTGAAACAAGAAATTCTTGCTTCTTTTTGATGTATTTATGTTTATTTGCATTTATTGTAATGCACACACACAAGAACACTTATTGCGAAGAGTAAATCGTTTTAATTAATGTTTAAGTGCCTAAGACTTTTGTACAGTGCATATTTTTTGCATATTTTCTGCTTTTTTTGCACTGATGTAACTGAATAACTTCTACTTCAAGGCTGTTTTTGTCGCTGATATTTTCACAATACTGTATAAACACAATCCTTTACTTTGTCCTTTGTTAAAATTGCATAACCAAGTATAATTGATTAGTGTCTTAATTCATATTTTTCTATCTTGCTATGATGATTTGTCATCATTATATCACTGACCTGCATAAGTCTCTCCTGGCTTAGTGCTTAGCTACATCTTTCTGGTCTTTTGGGTCAGATGACCCAAAGTGCTATAACCTTAAATAACCTTTTTTGATATGATGTGTATGTTGACAACATATGTTCTTTTTTGTTCCGAAATGCTGCAGGCTTTGTTTTGCCACAAATATTTGTGTCCGTAGGCCGCCACCTTTCTTGTCCAGTTCACTCAGAATCTGATTGGAAACGATGAACGTTGATGTTAAAAGCACACGCTGTAAGACTTACGTAAGAATGGCTAACTCTGCCCAGTGCAGTCTGACACTGGGGCTGCGTGTGAAAGAGACTGGACATCAGGGACACAGAGCAGCTTATCTGAATGGGGGGCTTTGGAACTGATGTTAGCTGGAGTACAGAGAGTGAGAGAGGGAAAGCAAGTGAGAAGTCTGATGGCTGCTGCTTTAATGGAGTTACGTAACATAGCAGTGGAGAGGTGAAATAGAGGGGGAGAGCGAGCGGGATGCTTTTAAAATCATGCTGCTCATTGGGTGGTAAGTTAATGAACTCCATAGCTGGACTGTGGACAGAGCTGGACTGTGGACAGAGGCTGTGTGGACAGAGGCTGTGTCCAAAACATTCACTGTATAATGCACTAATTAGGGTGTCTACCATTTTTACAGTGTCAAATACAGTGACTAATTTCTGCGGTTTAATAACACATCATGAATCTGGTGTGGAATTTTTTTTCAGGACCTTTCTCAAGAACAAATTTAAGAAAAAAACTTAGGAACATATTGGTAAATGAGGCCCAATGTTCCTTAGTGAGGGACTGCAGAGTTTTGGGTATTTAACCCTCTAAAGTGAATAATAACACCAAAAGATTCAGGTAATTCAGAGAAATCTGTGCATGAAAAAGGCTGAAAACCACAAATGAATGCCTGTGACCTTCAACCCCTCAGATGGCACTCAGCATGCTTCTGTTATGGACATCACATGGGCTCCGGCATTCTATGACAAATCGTTGTCAATGAACACTGTCTGTCGCTGCATCTACAAATGCAATGTTGAGACTGTACTATTCACTGTGGAAGGCAAAAAACAGAAACGCTGCTGACTTCTCTGGGCTCAAGTATCCGAAATGGACTGATGTACAGTGGAAACGTGTACTGTCGTCTGACGAATCAATCTTTCAGATTATTTATGGAAATTATAGACATTCTGTACTCTGGGCCAAAGAAGAAAAGGACCATACCAGCATAATGTTCAAAATCTAGTGTTTGTCATGATATTGGGTTATTTATGAGGAATCTGGATATCTGTAAAAGCACCATTAACACTGAACACATTTTAGAGGAAAATATGCTGCCTTTTAAGACACTGTCTTTTTCAGGGATGTCCATGCTCAGCTCAACTTGGCAACACCAAGCCTCATTCTGCACATGTTACAACTGCATGCAGTCCAGATCTGTCTCCCAGGGAAAATATGTCTTATTGAAATTTAAATGTGTCTTATTAACAACAACAAAGGCTCCTCAAGTTACAGAGATCACACATGCACTGCTCAAAAAATATTGTGTTTGTAGGCCTAAAGGCATAAAAAAAATGCTTTTCAGCTTTATAACAGCTTTTATAACAGCTTTATAATGCATGAAAATAATTACACAAGCACTATATAGAACACTACATAAACATTGATATAGGAAAGCAGAGTTGGTTTCCTAATCAGTGTTCCCTACATTGGAACACTATAAGAAACATTGTAAGAAACAGAATTTGTACATAAACAGTTTTGTGTGCTAACATTACACTGCTTTTTTCATGACTCTGCAAAGATAATCACATTCCTTTGCATTCAACAGAGTGCGTTATACGTATTCTATGTTGTGAATAGGCAACATTGTACACTACCTGTTACAGTTGAAATTGTAGCAGTGCACTGGATATTTTCCACTGTTTTCCAACATCTCTACAAAATGGCAGACTCCAAAAATAGTGCACTATATAACAAATAGAGCCTAGTTTCAGACATATCCAGTAAATTCAATAACATCCTCCCCTGATGTAGACTGTAGCCTCAGGGCTGCAGCTGGGGACTGTCGGAAAACACAGCCCAATACAATACCACTCAATACTGACCGCTAGTGTGTTCCACAGCTGGTCACTCTTTAGTTCCAGTACTGTACTTAGACCTCCTGAGAGACACCAAGCAGCCACTTCATTAAAACCAACTCCTTCTTCCTACATTCACTGTCCACTGTATCAGCTCCACTTTCCTATAGGTGCACTTTGTAGTTCTACAATTACAGACTGTAGTTCGTCTGTTTCTCTACATACTTTGCCCAGTTTTACTTTGTTCTTCTGGTCAGGACCCCCATGGACCCTCACAGAGCAGGTATTATTTGGGTGGTGATCATTCTCAGCATTGCAGTAACACTGGCATGGTGGTGACATGGTGACACAGCAGTGCTCCTGGAGTGACTGGTGTCCATTCACTATCCCCTCTATTAGACTCTTCTGTCTTGATTGTCCACCTTGTAGATGTAAAGTGAGAGAAGATAGCTTATATGTTGCGGCATAGTTTGTGTTGGTCATCCTCTAGTCTTTCATCAGTCGTCACAGGATGCTGTTGGCTGAAATGCTTTGGTTGGTGGATGATTCTCAGTCCGGCAGTGAACAAAACCTTGTGTCTCCAAAGTGGTAACAATTGGAATTATGCAGCTATAACAAAAAAAAAGTAAGGTTATGAAAACATGTTTTAATATTGACAGGTTCTTATGAGAAAAATGAGGTGAAGCAAGGGTCCCATGCATTACATTTTTAAGGGGGCCTAAAATTCCTAGCTGTTCCTCTGCACAGACACAGATGTATCTTGCCAACTGTAGGCCTGTATATGATGAATTAATCTCTTCAGTGGTGGGTATATGCCACATCCACTAGTGCTGTGGTATGTTTTTTGGTGAATTTCATGGCAGCATCAGTTTGCTTTTCCCAAATACGACTGAAGAGCTTTTAGACTGTTGTTAGCAGCCTGTCCATGTTGTCTGTGATATTTTAAGTTCCATTTTCAGATGTAACAAGATCGTGCGTCACTTTTTGCCTTTCGCTTCGTCCTTGTCCAAATTGGCTACCTTACCTCCTCAGAAAGCCCAAGTGGCTCATTATGGTGATTGGAAAGTGTGTTGTGTGAGAGAGAGAGAGAGAGAGAGAGAGAGAGAGTGCGAGAGAGAGAGAATGTGCACATTTGTGGGTGCAGGCGTCTGTGAGAGATACAGAGAGAATGTCTGTGTGTATATATTTGGTGTTTTTGTGGATGGGAGGGGCAGCGGTGACCCCATTCATAAAACC